AGGAGGGGATGTTTCAATAGAGAACAGGGACCCAACACCTTTCTGTTCAGTGGCTTTGAACAATTTTAAGCCATGAACTCCCTAAAACTGTAGTGTGAGGTATAAACAACTCCAGGCAAAACCCTTGTATGAGCACACACTCTGTCTGTCCTGAGCACACTCTGTCTGTCCTGAGCTCACTCTGTCTGTCCTGAGCACACTCTGTCTGTTCTGAGCTCACTCTGTCTGTCCTGAGCACACCCTGTCTGTCCTGAACTCACTCTGTCTGTCCTGAGCTCACTCTGTCTATCCTGAACTCATTCTTTCTATCCTGAGCTCACTCTGTCTGTCCTGAGCACACTCTGTCTGTCCTGAGCACACTCTGTCTGTCCTGAGCACACTCTGTCTGTCCTGAGCTCACTCTGTCTGTCCTGAGCTCACTCTGTCTGTCCTGAGCACACTCTGTCTGTCCTGAGCTCACTCTGTCTGTCCTGAGCACACTCTGTCTGTCCTGAGCTCACTCTGTCTGTCCTGAGCTCACTCTATCTATCCTGAGCTCATTCTGTCTATCCTGAGCTCACTCTGTCTATCCTGAACTCACTCTGTCTGTCCTGAGCTCACTCTGTCTATCCTGAGCTCACTCTTTCTATCCTGAGCTCACTCTGTCTGTCCTGAGCTCACTCTGTCTGTCCTGAACTCACTCTGTCCTGAGCACACTCTGTCTATCCTGAGCACACTCTGTCTATCCTGAGATCACATTCTCTATCCTGAGTACACACTCTGTCTATCCTGAGCTCACTCTGTCTGTCCTGAGCTCACTCTGTCTGTCCTGAGCTCACTCTGTCTATCCTGAACTCACTCTTTCTATCCTGAGCTCACTCTGTCTGACCTGAACTCACTCTGTCTGTCCTGAGCTCACTCTGTCTGTCCTGAGCTCACTCTGTCTGTCCTGAGCTCACTCTGTCTGTCCTGAACTCACTCTGTCTGTCCTGAACTCACTCTGTCTGTCCTGAGCTCACTCTGTCTGACCTGAACTCACTCTGTCTGTCCTGAGCACACTCTGTCTACCTGAGCACACTCTGTCTATCCTGAGATCACATTCTCTATCCTGAGTACACACTCTGTCTATCCTGAGCTCACTCTGTCTATCCTGAGCTCACTCTGTCTATCCTGAGCTCACTCTGTCTGTCCTGAGCTCACTCTGTCTATCCTGAACTCACTCTTTCTATCCTGAGCTTACTCTGTCTGTCCTGAACTCACTTTGTCTGTCCTGAGCTCACTCTGTCTGTCCTGAGCTCACTCTGTCTGTCCTGAACTCACTCTGTCTGTCCTGAGCTCACTCTGTCTGTCCTGAGCTCACTCTGTCTGTCCTGAGCTCACTCTTTCTATCCTGAGCTCACTCTGTCTGTCCTGAACTCACTCTGTCTGTCCTGAGCTCACTCTGTCTGTCCTGAGCACACTCTGTCTGTCCTGAGCTCACTCTGTCTGTCCTGAGCTCACTCTGTCTGTCCTGAGCACACATACTCTCTTACCATAGGCATGCTAGCATTTTTGAAGTTTGTTCACTGTCCACATTATTTTCTGTTTTTCTTGGTTGACTCAAGACTATGAGAAAACTAAGCTTTAAAAATAGATCTATTTATCTGTGTATGTGTTTTGGATGTGTGGCTGTGCAGGTAGAGGAGGGATGTTGGAGTTGATCATCCCCTCCACTGGTGGGCTTAGAGATAGAACTCAAGCCATAGGACTTACCCACTGAGTCATCTTACTGCCCCCCAAAGATTTATTTTTAAGTGAAGAGAAGGATTTTTAAGGAAGCCACAGTGTGAGTGTAGCCTTCTGTCAGCAGGAGTGTTTGGCCTAAAGGAACCAAGGCTCACGATAGGGGGACCCCAGTTCTGTCTCAGGGCAAGATTGGGGTAAATCCCACCATAAAGTGCAGTGCCAAAGCAGGCATGCCTATAGCCAAACCGACCGCTAGATGGCACCACAATACCAACTAATTTTCTGGTTTTGGCTCTAGAGTTCCACGACTACTAGCAGGAAACAAAAGGGCTATAGAGATAAGTCAGTAGGACTTGTCTGACTCCCCCTCCTCCTCTTCCTTCCCCTCCCCCTCCCCTCCTTCTTCCCCTCTCCCTTCTTTATATTGTGTAGAAGGGGTAGTTAAGATAGGTTTATGGTAAATAAGGGTCAGAGGTCACCTTGCATTCTTCCCTGAAGAAAAGTTAAGGAGAGGGCCCTGACCCCAGCTTTCCAGCTACGATGGAAACACATCTTAGTTTTCACGGTTCTGAGATTTTCCATCTCTGGCAGAAGGGCGTTGGCTGTATGGGCCTTCCAGGTTTCTAAGTAAAAGCATAAAAGTATTGTGTAACTTATTTTACTGAGTCTCCAAAATCAATAAGAGCACATTAGCCACAATTTAATGTAATACTAGAGCATTTTTGTGTGATACTGAAGTGTTATTTAAGTTCTCACTTATTTTCAATATTTTCCATTTTAAATTTATTATTCGAAGAATTTCATTCGCACATTGTCCTGTTTAAGTTTTTGCTCTGATCAACACTGTGGCTGGAAGCTCTGAGAGGAGAAAGAGAAGAGATGGCCGACCAGGCAGGAGCCCGGAGTCGAGGGCTGAAACGGAGGGCATGGCAGGAGCCCGGAGTCGGGGGCTGAAACGGAGGGCATGGGGCACACTGCTTACTCACTTGCCCCCGCTGGTTCTGTTTGATTTCTTATAGACCCCAAGACTACCTGCCCGGAGACCACACCACTTACACTGGGGCGGGGCCTTCCACACCAACCACCATCAATAATAAGCTTCCTGATAGGTCAGTCTGATGATGGGGGCGTATTCTTAATTGAGGTTCCTCTGCTCGGATGACTTCGGCTGTGTCAATTTGACAAACAAAACCAGCCAGGACAAGCGTACAGCTTGATTAAACCCACCCCATCTCCACCCACATCCCTTCCTTATCCTCCCACTCATTCCCTCCCATCTTTATGTGGTCCTTTGAAACCCACAAAGTCTCCTTAGGACTCTAGTATGTTCATCTACTGGGCCACAGCAGGGGCGTGGCCAGCCTCTGAGGGGAGGCATCCCCGCAGCAAATGGGCACTCTCCCTTGCCCAGCAGCTATCAGTTGCCAATAGCTCTTCGGATGGGGTGGTGTCTTGTAGGACCCTCCCCCGTCCATGCTGGGATTCTGGCTGGCTTGCTCTAGTGCGGGTTTGTGCGTGCACTCGCGGCTGCTATAGATCATGTGCGTGCACTCGCGGCTGCTACAGATCTTGTATGTGCACTCTGGGCTGCTGTAGATCTTGTATGTGCACTCCGGGCTGCTGTAGATCTTGTATGTGCACTCCGGGCTGCTGTAGATCTTGTATGTGCACTCCGGGCTGCTGTAGATCTTGTGTTTGCACTCGCGGCTGCTGTAGATCTTGTGTTTGCACTCGCGGCTGCTGTAGATCTTGTGCAGGTCTTGCATGTGCACTCACAGCCGCTATGAGTTCATGTGTGCAGCTGCCTTTTCCTGTCTGAAAAACATTTTTTTACAGTTGTTCTCCATCCCTTTTGCTCTTACGACCTTCTTGCCCCCCTCTTCTGGGGTGATCCCCCAGTGTTGAGGTGTGTGAATGTGTTGTATCCTGCAGAGTTCACAGCTGGGTAGTGTTGATGAGTACTTTCTCCTTTAGAAGTATGCATGGCACCTTCTAGCACTATGCAAGTTAGCGGGTACATGCTTGCACTTGACCAGCCAGCAGGGATGAGCTTCCAGGTCAGTGCCAGATTGACTTCTCCATGTCCTATGACTTGAGCATGTGGTGTCTTCAGCAACAGGGTCTTACCATCAAGTCTGGAAATGAACCAATAATAGCTTCTGTTTTGAGGGGTCTATGGGACCCCATTGACTGTAAGTTCTCTTACTTCCTTGAATTCTACTAAGTGTGTCACCACAGTAAGCAACATCTGTCAGGCCACACAAAGTTTCACTGCTCACTGCCGCTAAGGCTGACTTATACAGAAGAAACACACATGAGAAAGCCCAACAATGAGTGGATGACCTCATAGACCGGGGTATAATGTCCCACTGCTTTGTACCGTGTTTGCCTGTGAGCGTCTAACTCCTCTCCTGGCTCTGGCTTGCCAGGATCTTCATCTCTCTTGGCTAACCGTTTCTGCTTCTACTGTTGCTCATGTGCCCCGCCCAGTTTCTTGTTCTGCAACACAGGAACCTTGAAATTCCGGTGAGTGGTCACCAGACTCCGGTATCTACAGATGTACCACTATGCTCCTTAGCGTTAAATATGCATTAACATAGTATTTTGTTATTAAGAGGTGAATATAACGTTTACATTCTTCAAGATAGTACAGTAACTCATAATTCAAAAGGCTAAAAGCCAGTTAATTCTCTTTTGGAGAATTTATAAACCATTGTGAAATTAGTTTATGTCATCATTTTGATTACTAGGTTTTGGAAGTGAGTAAGCTTGGAAGGGAAGCAAGCCCATTCCAGTTGCTCTGAGTTACAGGCACATTTCTGACAGGACATAGTGTAGTGACACCACCCAAGCCAGCATGGATCTCTGGGGAGGAAATGCCTTAATAGGCTTCCTGCTGAGCCCAACCCAACTAGGAAGTCTTTAGTTTTGGGAAATGAGCTGTAGTTCTCTGGAAATGGGGAGAGAGGAAGAAGAAAGAGTGGGATCCCCGAGTCTCTTGGTTTGTGATTGTACTGTGAAAAATGTATCTCTCAAGCCGGGCGGTGGTGGCGCACGCCTTTAATCCCAGCACTCGGGAGGCAGAGGAAGGAGGGTCTCTGTGAGTTCGAGGCCGGGCTGGACTGACAGCCTCCAAATACAGAGAAATCCTGTCTCGTAAAACCAAAAAAAAAAAAAAAATGTATCTCTCAGAGATGCCAACACCAGGGGACCCGCAAGTGAGACGTGTGGTCCCCGCTATGGCATGAACTTCAGCACCTGCTTTTCAAGCTGCTGCTGCTGTTTTTTGTCTACAGGTCTACAACTTGACAGGGTACTGGGCAAAGCTGAACTCCAACCTTGAGTATGTCAAGTATACGAAGCCTCACTTACATTACCACAACAGTGTTGTGAGGAGGGAATGGCACAGCCTGGTCTCTGAAGAGGTGAGCTCACAGCTAGCATGGAGACTGAGGAGGCCAGCTCGTGCTGACTGGGCCTTCCTGTCCGTCCCCAGGCTGTGTGACAAGTCCCTGGGCACCTGGGGCCGCCTCTGTTACCTGTTCTTTGAGGAAGAAATGGCGGGGGGGGGAAGGGAAGGGACGTGTAGAATGTCTGTGACAGGAGCATGGGGACCGTGTCTCAGATGCTGCAGGTTACTTGAGTAGCTTAAAGTTTATTTGGAAAATGTAGGCGTTCCCCAGTTAGCATTTGCTAGAGGTGGGGGGAGAAGAGTCAGGGAGACAGACTGAAAGAGGGTTGGACAGGAGCTCTCCAGGAAATGAAACAGTTCTGTATTTTGATCAGGATGGCACATTGTAGTACATACATCTACATACATGATACAGTGGTATAGGACTAGACACATGCTGTAGAATATGCATTTCCTGACATCGTAGTGGAGTTATATTAGATAGAAGCATTAACTGTGACAGGATGAAGGGTGCCTTGGACCCCTGCACTGCTGTGGTATAGCATCCCGGCATCCTGTGATTGAGAGTAAAGTTTAATAATAATAAAAAAAGGTTTTCTCATGACATGGGAAATGTTATTGAAGCATTTAACTACATTGCCTTTTGTTCTTGCTATTAAAAAAAAAGCTATCCATGAAATTTTCACCTTCCATATTCCTGACATGTTCTCTTCCCTAGAAAACGGGAAAAAGAAGGTCCACGATGTACGTGAGGAACATTCTTGACAATGCAGTAAAGTAAGTACAATCAGAGGGTTGCCGTGGCTGGTCGGCTGCCTCTGTGGTGCACCTCGGGGAAGTGTTGTCCTCGGCTTCCTCTGACCACTGGGTGCTAGAGTTCTGGTGGGAAAAGCTTCTAGGTTGTGCCGCTGTGGATCGGACCCTGGAATGGACGGCTTAAGATGGATAAGCGGTAAAGAGGGGAGATTTCTGAGGGAGAAACAGGTTATTTAAGTTGTTGGTGGCGCTTGCTTTTATTTTGAAAGCTGTTTTCTGAGCAGATGAGCCACCTGAGTGGAGGCCCCATTCCAGCGTCTGCTCTACGTTCTGCCTTCGTTATGCCCAATAACCAAGAGCCACAGCTCTTCTAGATAATTCCTGTTGCTGGCACTAAAGGACTTTGAGATTTTTAATTGCTTAATGTGCCCTTGGCGCACTGATAAGAATTTCTGAGCTCTCTGGTAGGGAGAGAGAGCAGCTTCTGCAGTGGTCCGAGAGGCTTTTAGTGAGGGTATCTCTACATAGTGCTGGGGCTCCAATTTTTTAAAATGACGTTTCCTTTGTAAATAACACAGAATCTCTTTGCAGGGTGATTTTGAACATGGAAACAAGGACATTGGGTAAGAAAGGCCTGTACTAAAGTTCATGTCTTGTTCGCAGCATTGCTCTTCCTAGCTGGTGGGCTGGCAAGAAAATCACTTGCAGGAGTGTAAGCAACAGCTTTGTACGTCACCCTGTCAGAGTGACCACACAGTCAGCCCCATGCCTGTCTTGGCACCGGGACCTGAAGGAGTCCCTGGGGGTTGGCCCTCTGCTCCTCCTCGTGTCTCCTCTCAGAGCTGATCTAATTGGCGTGGCCTCTGGCTGCCCCCGGGGGCTGCACTTGGCCGCTCTCTTGCATGAGCTGCTTTCTTTCCAGCTGTCTGATCACACGATTTTTGACTTATATGTGCCTTCCATTTCGATTCACTCCGGGTCACGCCCTGGGCCTGGTCCCAGGGAACAAAGATGGGCCTCCAGGTAAGCAGAGTGGCTCTCTGGGGGTGAACACCAGCTTCCAGAGCCATCACACGCCAACCCTAAGTGCTGCACCTTCCTCAGGGTCTGTGCGAGGGGAACGTAAGGACGGACTGGTTCATGTTGCCTTGTTAGCGCCTGGTTAGCGGTAAGGAACATGGGCAGGAAGGGGCTTGATGGAGGAGAGAGAGAGGCTGGAGAAGCATTCCAAGGCAGGCGTCAGCTAAATTAAGTCGTGACAGGCAAGGAGGGTCTACTCTGTGGTAACTGAGGGAGGAGAATGGTGACTATATCCAGCCTAAGCCTTTCTGATGTTGCTCATGTTTCCACGAAGACCAGCAGCCTTCAGTAAGGAAACTTTTTATCTACTGTTTTATTGGCTTGGTTTGGAAAGCGTGTAACAGCACACTCAACAGCAGCACACACAGCCCAGTGAACCATGAAGGTGACTTATCTGCACAGAGAACTAGCCACAGTCTGGGCTACCAGACCATCCTTGCCTGTAGCCAGGGACTGTGCCCTCTGGACAGGGCATCAATGTGTGAGATCCAGGGTCGTCTTCCTGCTGTGCCTTAAGTTGTGCAGTGTGAAGAGTTGCTGCTACCCATGGGAGTGTCTGAGCTTTGCTTGGTGGCAGGCCTGCAAGCATTGTCTCCCTGGGCAGCATCTCCCAGTGGGCTTTGACAACTTTCCTTCCTGTGCCTTAATTTGCTTCCCATGAAGAGTGCTGTCACTGCCTGAAACCCAACACTGCAAACGGAGGGGTGTTGAGCTCACAGTCCGAATAGTTTCATCATATTCCAGAGGGTGGAGAGAGAAACATTCATCCCGAGGGGCCAAAGAGCCTATGCCTTTTCAGAAGGCAGCGTTAGCCCGCGGGGTCTGCCCTCTTGCCTGCTCTGGGCCTCAGAGACTCTGAGAGAAGAACCCAGTGGGGGAGGTGTCAGGAAAGCTTAAGGGAAGATGCCTGCCGGCCCCCTGGCCTTCCTCTGCCCCTCCTTTCTTGTCAGTGCGGAGTCAGTCAGAGTGGGGAACGTGTTGTTTGCTTTAACTGTCTTGATGCTCCACATTCTCAGTCTGGTAGCGTGTGACCATCAGCATGGCCCAGCCAGTGACTGTCTCCTCAGTAACTTTCAAGACCACTGAACTATGGGGTCAGGAGGTAGGAGGGAGCCACACGGTCCCTTCCACCGAGGCCTGGCATCCTAGAGTTAGGCCTCTTGAGGGGAAGAGGCCTGTGGGGTTCTTGTAGCATGCTTCCTGAACACTACCCTTCTGATGGCTGCTCCTCGGTCCTTTTTCAGAGCCAAGGTTAATACCCCTCTTACAAGAGGAAGATAGGCACCAGAGGCTGCTCGTGGGCCTGGTAAGTAGTCTGTGGGCTTCTGGAGGGCTGGCAGGCTCCCAAGAAACAGTGGTCAAGAACAGACAGCAGCTCATCGTGAAGGCATTTTCCCTGAAGTATTCAGTGAATTCCAGCACTATAGCTCCGGGCTCCAGTGGTGAGCGGAACATGTATGATCTCTGCCCTCTTGGGATGTGTATTCTAGTGAAGGAAGCAGATTAGTCACATGAATAAGCATGCATGTAATTAGTTACATGAATAAGAATTTCATCATAAACCGTGATAAGGAATACATGTGTGTTTATGTCTACATTCTGTGATTCTAGACACACGTCCCTGCTTTTAGCTTTTATATGGGTTCTTGGGATCTGAACTCAGGTCCTCAGGCTTGCATGACAATCACTTTTACCCACTGAACCATATCCATGGCCTGTTTTCATTGTTTGACTATCAAGTTGACAAAGATTTACAAATCATGTTAACAAAACTCAGGGTACAGAGAATTGGCTATCCTCATGCCACACATTGAAAATTAGGACAAACTGTTTGGTGGGATTGAAAATTGGGACAAACTGTTTGGTGGGATTGAAAATTGGGACAAACTGTTTGGTGGGATTGAAAATTGGGACAAACTGGTGGTATTGAAAATTAGGACAAACTGTTTACAAAACAGTTACAAAAGTATGAGACCCAGCCAATTTCACTTCCAGGAAGTGAGTCTGACTGCAAAGTTGTGGCTATGGCAAAACCTTTTTCTTCCTCTCCCTCACTTTACAATGAAACTCTGGAACGAGAGTTATTTCTGTGACTGACTCTCATGCGAACTCCATGGAGCACAGTCTCTGTGGAGCACAGTCTCTCTGTGGAGCACAGTCTCTGTGGAGCACAGTCTCTGTGGAGCACAGTCTCTCTATGGAGCACAGTCTCTGTGGAGCACAGTCTCTATGGAGCACAGTTTCTGTGGAGCACAGTCTCTGTGGAGCACAGTCTCTGTGGAGCACAGTCTCTCTGTGGAGCACAGTCTCTCTATGGAGCACAGTCTCTGTGGAGCACAGTCTCTGTGGAGCACAGTCTCTGTGGAGCATAGTCTCTCTATGGAGCACAGTCTCTGTGGAGCACAGTCTCTATGGAGCACAGTTTCTGTGGAGCACAGTCTCTGTGGAGCACAGTCTCTGTGGAGCACAGTCTCTCTGTGGAGCACAGTCTCTCTATGGAGCACAGTCTCTGTGGAGCACAGTCTCTGTGGAGCACAGTCTCTGTGGAGCACAGTCTCTGTGGAGCACAGTCTCTGTGGAGCACAGTCTCTGTGGAGCACAGTCTCTGTGGAGCACAGTCTCTGTGGAGCACAGTCTCTGTGGAGCACAGTCTCTGTGGAGCACAGTCTCTGTGGAGCACAGTCTCTATGGAGCACAGTCTCTGTGGAGCACAGTCTCTCTATGGAGCACAGTCTCTGTGGAGCACAGTCTCTGTGGAGCACAGTCTCTCTGTGGAGCACAGTCTCTCTATGGAGCACAGACTATGGAGCACAGACTATGGAGCACAGTCTCTCTGTGGAGCACAGTTCTCCATGGAGCACAGTTACTCTGATTTGGTCCTGCTATTTTCCCAGAGCTGTTGGCGTCGTAAGTTTCAAATAGCTGTAGATCCCAAAGCCTGTAACTTCAAAGCTGGCACCTTCCATAGGCTTCTTTGGAGGATTCTCATCATGACTGAATGACTCCCAGTTACCCCTTGGCTTTGGTTAAATCATAAGACGTTCCTCCTGAGAGAAATGTTGGAGTCATTGATTTACCTCAGCAGAGGGTAGTTAAGAGTCTTGTTCCTTTGGGGTGGCAGGGGTGAAGGGTTTTCCTCAGATCAAGAGCTTTTCATGTTGGTTCCAAATATTAATAATGGCCCCAATTAAAGTCAGTCACAGGTGAGAATGGGCTGTTGAGACTCATCTAGTGCCTGTCCTGTTTTCAGATGGTGTCTGAGCTAAGAAACCATCTAGTGAGACACCTACAGTGTGTAGAAAAGAAGAAAATTGAACAGACGGTTCTGGACTACATTTCAAAACTGGTTGGTTTTACTTTTCCCCCCAATTTTAACCCTACCCCATGTTTAATTCTCAAGGGTGTCAGTCAGTGAGCCTGTTGGTTGGTGTGTGTGTGTGCGCGCGCGCGCGCGCGTGCATGCATGTGTGTGCATGTGCGTGTGCATGTGCAGAGGGAAGTGGGAGTGCCCATGGGCATGTGGAGGCCAGAGGTTGACTTTTTTTTTTTTTAGGATTTATTTATTTATTACAGATACAGTTTGTCTACATACCAGAAGAGGGCACCAGATTGAATTGTAGAAGGTTGTGAGCCACCATGTGGTTGCTGGGAATTGAACTCAGGACCTCTGGAAGAGCAGTCAGTGCTATTAACCTTTGAGCCATCTCTCCAGCCCCCAGAGGTTGACTTCAAGTGTCCTCCTCCATCACTTTATACCTTAGTTTTGGAGACAGGATCTCTCACTGGCCCTGGATCTCATTAATGCAGTGGGGCTGGCTGGCCAACAGATTCCAGGAATCACCCTACCTCTGTCCTTTCTCTCCCCAGCCCTGTGGTGTGGTTACAAACACTAGGTGTTCTGCCTGACTTTTCCCGTGGTGCTGAAGACCCAAACTCAGGTCCTCATTTGTATAGTGGCAGTTTGCTGACTGAGACCTCTCCCCGGCACCCCCCCCACTTTGTTCCTCAGGTTAGGTTTTGGAGACTTCCATCGTCAAACTGGCATATTTGGTGCTATAGATCGAGAGAAGGGTAAAAAGAACAGCAAACAAAGAGAACTTGGTGAGGGTGGCTTTCTGTCCTGCTTAAACTGGTCCTGTGCTCATGGGAGCATACGACAGTAAGGCCAGGGTAGCTGCCAAGTGGTCACATCTCATTTGGGCAGCTTCCAACTCTTTGTTAAGCAGGAAATATTGATTTCTGTGATGAAGGTTTATACAGATATGAGAAAGCTTGCGCTCTAATTCTCTATCAGCTCCAAAGCTGAACTAGGCCAGCTTCCAACTCAGCTCTCTTTTCCCGCCACATCTGCTAACGAGATGGCAGCTCATTGCCTGTTAGCCATGTATTGAGATGGTATTACTCAAATTAATGACATCTGTTCACATGGAAATAGAAATGATGTGATGAGATTGGATTTCAGCCATCTTTGCTTTTTCACAAAACACTGAAGCTGAAGTCTGGTCCTGTAGAATCTAGAAACAATATACTTGACAGAGAAAGAATGCTCCATTATTTCTCCAATTTGGGTAAGACTGGTATGCAAATGAGCCAGTGTGTGAATGTGTGTGTGTGTGTGTGTGTATTTTTTTTTACAGTGTCTTTGGAATATTAAATTTCTTAGCTAAAATCAAGATGATCTCTTCAATTAATTTTGAAGTTTTCCTACCTTTACTGTAGTCATTAAGTGACTATTTTAATATTTGAAAATCTACTGAAAGATTTGAGTTTCATAATTTAAAATGTATGTATTTATATTCATGCAGGTGTTATGTATGTATGTATGTATGTACACCTCCAGAGGAGGGTGTTGGATCCCTTGGAACTGGAAATGTACATGGTTGTGAGCTGCCATGTGGGTGCTGGGAACTGAACCAGGGTCCTCTAGAGGAGCAATCAGTGCTCTAAGCTGCTGAGTCATCTCTCCAGCCCCAGTGAATTTTATAATGTTAATATACTAGGAAAGGCTGGGTATTGTCATATAGTGATATTTATAACCAGGACATCCAGGTTTCTCTATCTCCCTCTGGAAAGAATATCAGTGAAGCACACTTTAAGAAAACGGTACTGACCCTTCCCACAGTGACAGCAATGTTCTTAGTCATTTGTCTCTCTCTTCAAAGATGGAAATCTTCTGTCTTTCTTTTGATCAGCTATTTTTTAAAACAAGGCCAGTTTTAAAGCAATCTAGTAAGTGGTTCTGTTGAGTGCAGATTTGAACAGGAATGGTAGCCCTCCCGAGGTCTGTGGTCTTCAGTAATGATCAGGAGTTACTTGCATGAAACCATCTTAAGCACACAAGACCCCATTCTCACACTGGCCATGTTTAGCTTTGCTGGTAACCCAGGCATAGCTGCCGCCCCTCCCCCCACCCCAGCCTCCTGACGGCAGCTTCCTTGTGCTCACTGCTATAGCCTTGGTGGTTATACGGGCTATATATAGTGGGGTGAGGCATTTGTTTTTCCACACCAGGTATTGGCAGGCAACAGGCGACTCTCAGCTTAGGATGGGAGGCGGGGCCTGGCTTAAAGAACCTGTCATGCTGAGGAGCCGTCACCAACAAAGCTGGCTAAGGAGTCCACCTCTCCATGACTTTTCCTCTTTTCTCTTGGAAGACGTTGTTTCCCTCTTCATGTTTCTGGTGGCTGTGCCATTTATATTTCCTTAGCAAAGTGCTGCTTATGGTGGAGCTTCTGTATGCTGTGAATCAATGTTTCTCTTATCAGTTGATGAATAAAGCCTATGGGCAGGCAGGGTGTAGCCAGGCAGGAAGTATAGGCGGGGCTACAAGACTAGGAGAATTCTGGGAAGAAGAATGTAGAGAGTGAACTGTTGAGGGAGCAAGAGGGCTGGGCATCACCGGTAAGCCACGACAAAGTAGGTACAAAGATTAATAGTTATGGGTTAATAACTAAGTGAGATCTAGCCAATAAGAAGCCTAAGCTATCAGCCAAACCGTTTAGGATTAATATAAGTCTCTGTGTGTTTATTTGGGACTAATGGTTGCAGGCACTGGTGGGACATGGGAGCTTAACTTTTGATTGCTGACCCTTCATTTGAGCCCCTCTGCTTTTATTTCATGTAATCTCAATGATGTCTGAGGCATTTTTTATATAATATTTGTAAGATAAGTCCATTTGTTCATTTTGTGGTGTGGTGACTGCTGCAGAGCCATTGGGAACAGCTTTCAGAGCACGAAGAAGCTCCAGTGTTGTGTCTGCGAGGCCTGTCACTTCATGGAAGGGTCGCTTTCTGTGGACTTTAAGTGTCACCTTCTAAAGTGCTAAGAGTTTCCATTCTAGCATTCTTTCTCATTGTACTTAATCGCATGCAAGTTTTCACACTAGCTTGTGCCATCTCCTAGAGCTAAGAGACCCAGAAACAATGCCTGTATTGACTCAGAAACACCATGCCCCTGACTTACTCAACTTGCTCAGTTACAACCAGCCATGCCTCCTATGCCTGTCTAAAGAGGGTGGCTAGGCAGTCCTTCTGGAAGCGTGTTCACGGAAGTTGCTGTATATTGGTGATATTGTCCTCTGTCACCAAGGCTGTGCACAGGGCTCCTTCCTGCCTCATCTCCTGCTCTTACCTTGTAGGCGCACTGGTTCATGTTGTTCAGCCACGCGGGAACTGCTCTACCGGTGACAAACTTGTAAAATTAGAGTATGTTTCTAGACAAAGCCCTAAGGCCAAGGAGGCATCTGGTTTGAGTGATACAGAGATGGATTGTTGAGCATTGGCTCCAGTAAGCGATTTAACTAATTTTTACCACAGCCACGTGAAAGCGCTTCCTCTCATCTCACAGAAGAGTTTTGGAGAGGATGGGTAACCTGCTAGGGCGACACAGCCCGTAGAACCCGGCCCCGTTGTCATCTGTCCCCCCAGGTCATGTACGTGACTCCATGCCACGCCATCACCGCTCTTCACTGGCGGTGCGGCAGGCTGACAGCTAAGCCTTTGGCCTTTGGCCTTCACTGATGGGTGAGGAGGGTTGGTGTGAACGCTGGAGCCAGCCAGCTAGCTGCTCAGTGGACCATTGCGAGCGCAGACAGAGGGCGCTCTATGACAGTGGGGGCACACTTCCAGTCTTTCCGTTTTGGATTTCAGCGCCTCAGAGCTGGTTTCAGGAAGGCTAGTTGAATGTTGTGCCTGGTGTGGTCAGAGCGCCAGAGGGACAGCTGGGAGGCCTTGAAGGAAAGGATGCAAGCTCTGCTTCACGAATCCTCTTTCCTTCTAGCTGAATCTCACTTGGTGCATGCTGGAAACCATCTGGAGAAAACACAGTGCGCATCCCTGGGTTCCCCGTCTGTACGCAAGTATTGCTCAGTCTCCTTTGTCATGGTGCGCAGAGAGCTAGTAACTGCTGACTGCCTGTTCTAGAAAAGCCCTTTGAAACGCTAGTCCAAAGCGGTGCTCCACAGCCCCGCCACCTCTGTCTTATTTTAAACTCAGAATTCAAGGCTACTTCAGCTGTCCTTTATGCCATGTGGTTGACTAGGAGGGAGAGACACATGAGGCTGCTACTTCTAAGAAGGGAACTTTCCATTAATGTCATTTATGAGCCCACAGTGTATGGTGTGGGATTCCATACCTCAGGCTGTTGGTCAGTCTTTCATTTCTGTGGCTTTCCACAGAGTGTATAACATTTCGTGGGAGTCTCTGCCTGTGGTTCTCAGAGGCACGACGCGGGATAACAGAGTGTGCGGCTCACACACTACTTTGCTGTCTTTACCCAGCAATAAGCATGGCAGTGCTGCAGAGTTTGAAGTTTTTCACCTCATGACCAGGATTTTGGATGCTACTAACAGCCTGTGCTTCCCTCTGCCTCCTGGTGAGTCTTGGCTCTTTGGTTGTTTGGTGTAATAAGGTTGTTTCTCGTGGCCTCCAGAGAGTAGCACCCTGAATTTGGACCAGGCAGGCATGTGGCAGCAGCTGACTCTAGTGAAGGACAGCCTTGACCAGAGGTTCCAGCCAGTCCTCACGTGCGTGTCCAGGCGCTGTTGAAGGGGACTTGCTCCACTAGCCTCAGGCCTGCTTTACCGTGTGGAGAGGCCCGAAGGTGGACACAAAGGAGGGCGTGGTCGGCTTGGTGCTGAGTATTAGACTGCCCCTTAAGTGCTCGGAGGTTGAAAATTTTCTTCAGGATTTTGGGTAGAGAGCTAATTGGGCTTCTCTCTGTCTCTGTCTCTCTTTCTCTCTGTCTCTGTCTCTCTTTCTCTCTGTCTCTGTCTCTCTTTCTCTCTGTCTCTGTCTCTCTCTCTGTCTCTGTCTGTCTGTCTGTCTGTCTGTCTGTCCCTCTCTCTCTCTCTCTGTGTGTGGTTATTCATGTAAGTCACATTGGATCAGAGCGTATGCGGTTGCAGACCCTAATGGGAGTGGAATAGGATACCGTTTACACAAGTCTGACTGATGTATGAGATGCATAAGCTCTCTCTCTGTGTGTGTGGTTATTCATGTAAGTCACATTGGATCAGAGCGTGTGCAGTTGCAGACCCTAATGGGAGTGGAATAGGATGCCGTTTACACAAGTCTGACTGATGTATGAAATGCATAAGCTCCTGTTTGCCATAAACGGCTCCCTTGTGTTTAGCACGTTTTCTTTATAACACAAGATGGGCCTTGTAACACATTAAGTGTGCACAGTAGCTCTGTAGAGCTTTCTTACCTCACAACAGCCCCTCCTCACAGTCAGGGACAGCAGCTCCCCTTCCCATCTCCCGGCCCGGGCCTTTCTGTTGTTTCTGTGACTCTAGACCACTCCTACAGACGCCTCTAGCATTTGTCTCTTCTGTGACGGCCAATTTTAACCTCCATGCTGCCCTCCAGATCCACCCAATTGACATGGATGACAAGATTTCTTTCCTTCTAAAGCTGAGTAACATTATGTTTGTGTATTTTACGTGTTATTTACCTGTTTATCAGTGCATCTATGCATCTTGGCTAGTGTGATCAGTTTAATGAACATTAGTGTACTAATCTCTTTGACTATCTCGACTTGAATTCTTTTGGGTGTTCAGAAGGACTATGGGATCATATGCTGCTTCCATGTTTAGCTTCTTGAGGAGGTTCATGTAGTCTTTCCCAGTGGCTGCATTGTTTTATAGTCCCACCAACAGTGTGCAAGACTCTGCTTTTCTCCAAACTCTTTCTAATGCTTAACCCTCCCTGTTTTGTACCCTGAGAGATGGGAGGTAATACTCATTGTGGGTTTGATTTGGATTCCACTGATTAGTGATATTGCCTATCTCCCCATGTAATTCTTCTTTAGAAAAAAACCTCTATTTATGTCTTCTATGTGTTTAATAAAATCAGTTGTCTTGCTATCTGTAGTGAGCCGCCAGTGTGTTCGCAGCTATGGCGTTACCCTACTTCACAATGATCTGGGGCAAAGGGCTAAGGATGTAAAATGAAGACAAAGACAGTGGCTCATTCTTACAAGGAGAATGGTGTTTATTCTTACAAGGGTAGAGCCTTAAATACCAAAGGCAGGCATGGTGGAAAATCCCCAAGGTAGACACCTGTGTTCCCAGGGCCCTCCGGTAAAGGGTGGGCCCAAAACAGGAATTAGCATTTGGACAAAGGTTGGACAGAAAACAGGAACTTGCTGCAGGCCTTACTGGGAGGAGGGGATGAGAAGTGTTTAGTTAAAGGCGCCTATTACAAGCAGTCAGCAGAACCCCATGGGGAAGGGTGCAACACTATTAGCTTGCTTCACTATTTTTATGCTCTGGATATTAGCCCCTATCAGATTTCTGGTTTACAAGTGTTTTCTCCCTCTTCCGTAGCTGCCTTTTCACTGTTACTTTCTTCGCTTTCCTCCACCCTGAGCCCCTAAGCCTCAGACCCCGGCCACATTGCAGGCTCAGGTAGCTCAAGATGGCTTCAAACTTCTGCAGCCAACACTGGCCTTGAGCTCCCGATCCTGATCTCTTACTGCTACTCCAAGTGCTGGCGTTACAGGCGGCTGCTCCTTTGCTGTGAAATGCTACTTTCTTCACATGACAAGGGAAGAAAGGCTGAGGTGGCTCTTAATCGTGTGTGTGCGTGTGTGTGCATGTGTGCGTGTGTGTGTGTGCATGTGTGTGCGTGTGCGTGTGTGTCTGTGTGTGCATGTGTGCGTGTGTGTGTGCGCGCATGTGTGTGCCTGTGCGTCTGTGTGTGTGTGTGTGTGCGTGTGTGTCTGTGTGTGCATGTGTGTATCTGTGTGCGTGTGTGTGCGCGTGTGCGTGTGCGTGTCTGTGTGTGCGTGTGTGTGCGCGTGTGCGTGTGTGTGTGCATGTGTGTGTCTGTGTGTGTGTGTGTGTGTGCAAGGGTGGATGTATGCATGTGTATAAGGGTGCTTGCTTTTCAGGTCTATAGCGCTAGTAAGAATTGAGTTTCAAGAGTCAAACACTTAGATAAAGGAAGGGAGTAAGGAAGTGGCAAGAGGAGTTTGTTTGGGTTTTTTGTTTGTTTGTTCTGATGTTTCCTTCCCTGGCTGCAGCAAGGCCAGCAGCCCTGGAGGAC